AACCAACTCAAACAGCCAATTTCTTCTAGTTCTAGCTCACTTAAGTACTTCAAATGCCAATGGATTGGTCATTTGCATCGATTGTCCTAACCAAAAAATTGAAACTTTGATAGAGAAGTGTGAAGACACCTCTAATGAGATAATGGAGCAATCAGACCACGAATATGAGGAATTTGTGGAGAATGCTGATGAAGGGCAAACATTTTGTCATTCAAAAAAGCCTCATTATTGTTGCTGCCAGTGAAGATAAATGGTTGCATGAAAACATCTTTCACATTAGATGCACCTCTCATGATAAGGTCTCTCAAGTCATTATCTTTTACGCTAGATGCACCTCTCGTGATAAGGTGTCTCAAGTCATTATTGTTGGAGGGAGTTGCACAAATGTGTTTGCTACAACAATGCTAGAGAAGCAGCAATTAAAGCGCGAGGAGCACTCACATCCTTATAAGATTCAATGGCGGTGGAAAAGAAAAGAATTAAAGGTAACAAAGAGGTGTTTAATTCAGTTATCAATTGGCAAACACTATCATGATGTTGTGTGGTGTGATGTTATTCCAATGGATGCTTATCACATTTTATTGGAAAAGACTTTGGCAATATAATAGAAAAGTTGTTCATGATGGTTATGAAAACACTTATACCTTTGTAAAAGATGAGGTGAGAATTGTTTTAGCTCTCATGAAATTATGACCTACTTGCAAATACACAAGAAGAAACTAGTGCCTTATTATCTTTAGTGCAAATGCAAAGGGTACTTGTTGCTAGTAAAGTGTTTTAGGCTCTTGTGATGATTGAAGATACAAGAAGTTAAATGGAGGTTGTAAACCTTTAGTTCAACCGCTTTTGAAAGAATTTGTTCATGTTGTGCCCAATGAGATTCCAAATGGACTTCCACCAATGAAGGACATGCAACATTGTTTCGATCTCATTCTTGGATCCATTCTTCCCAACAAGACAGCATATGGAATGAATATTGAGGAGCATGAAAAATTACAAAGGCAAGTGGATGAACTTCTTCCCAGAGGTATGGTGGGAGAAAGCATGAGTTGTGTTGTTCTAGCATTATTGGTGCTAAAGAAAGATAGTTCATGGTGTATGTGTTGATAGTCTCACCATCAACAAAATCACCCTCAAGTATAGATTTTCCATTCCTAGACTTGATGATCTTCTTGATCAATTGCATGATGCAACCATATTTTCCAAGATTGTTCTTCATAGGGGTACCACCAGAATAGAATGATGTTGGGAGATGAGTGGCAAACAACATTAAAACCGTAAATGGGCTCTCTAAGTGATTGGTCATGCCATTTGGACTATCAAATGCTCCAAGTACATTTATGCTACTTATGACTTATGTCTTTAAATTGTTTATGGGTCTTTTTATTGTCTATTTTGATGATATTCTGTTCTATAGCAATTCAATAGAACAACATGTGAGGCACTTGAGAATAGTGTTTCAAACTTTTAGAGATCAGAAGCTTTATGCCAACTTAAAAGAGGTGTGACTTCTCCAATAATGTTGTGTTTTGGGGTTATGTTGTTTCAAGGGATGGAATCAAGGTGGATCCTAGCAAGATCAAATCAATATTAAGCTCGCCTATTTTCTAAGTCACTCCATTACATTTGAAGCTTCCATGGATTGGTCTCTATTGCCAGTTCATTCAGAATTTCAGTAACCTTATTGCACCTGTAACTGAATGTTTGAAGGCGGATCATTCTCATGGTCAGATACTGCACAAAAAAATTTTGGGCTTATCAAAAAGAAGATGACAGAAGCTTTCATTCTTGCTCTTCCAGATTTCAATAAGATCTTTGAAGTTGATTATGATTCTTCTAATGTGGAAATTGGTGCAATTCTGAGCCAAGAAGGAAGGTCCATTGCTTTCTTTAGTGAAAAACTAAATGAAGGTTGTATGCGATACACTATGGATGACAAGGAGTTCTATGCCATTATTAGAGCTCTAGATCATAGAAGCCATTATTTACTTCCTAAGGAGTTTGATCGATATTCTGATCATAAAGCTTTGAAGTATTTAAATAGCCAACAGTAGCTCAACAGTTGGAATGCCAAATGGGTTAAACTCCTATAATCATACTTCTTTATTAAGCACGAAGCAAGGAAGCTTAATCAAGTGGCTAATGCTTTGACCAAGAGATTCACTGCTTAACACAATGGAAGCAAATGTGTTGCATTTGGACTTGATCACAAGCCTTTATCCAAATCATCCAGATTTCAATTATGTTTGGGAGGATTGCTTTAATGGTCCAAAGAACCATTTCTTTCAACAAAATGGGTTTCTCTTCAAGAAGGCTAAAGCTAATGGGTAGAATACTGGATAAACACTTGACTTCCAAGTTCCAATTCCATCTTCACCTTGGGAGGATTTAAGCATGGACTTTGTTTTGGGGTTGCTAAGAACTCAATGGAATAAGGACTCCATTTTGATTGTTTTTGACAGATTTCCCAAGATGACTCATTTTGTTCCTTGCAACAAAACATCTAATGTCTCTCGTGACAAATTTATATTTTAGAGAAGTTGTTAAATTGCTTGGTGTGCCAAAATCCATCACTTTAGATTGTGATTCCAAGTTTTTAAATCACTTTTAGAGGACTTTGTGGTGGAAACTAGGAACTAAACTTCAATTTAGCCCTTCTTGCCATCCACAAACCGACAGCTATACCGAGATTGTTAATAGAAGTTTGGGAAATCTTTTCAGAAGCTTGATAAAGAACACTAGGGAGTGGGATTTTTTTCTTGCACATGCTGAATTTGCTTATAATTGATCCACTAGTCAAACTATTGGTTTTAGTCCATTTGAGATTGTGTATTGACAAAATCCAATCAGTCCCTTAGATTTGGCTCCAATCCCCACCAAGCCTTATTTTAGTGGAGATGTTGAAGAAAGAGCTAAGGATATTAAAAAAAACTACATGAACAACTTAGAGAAAAAATTATCAAGCAAACAGAGAAGTACAAGTTACAAGCCAACGAACATAGAAAGTCAATTGCATTCAAGGAGGGTGATTTGATGTGGATTCATTTGAGAAAAAAAAGGTTGTTGGGGGAGAAGACATTATAAGTGTTTGCCACAAGCTGATGGACCTTTTAGAGTTCTCTATATCGGAGAAAATGCATACAAATTTAAGCTATCAGGAGATTGAGTTTCAGCCACATTCAATAGTTTGACTTATCTTCATACCATGAAGATAAAGACAGTGATGACTTGAGGTTGAGTCCATTTAAATCAGGGGACAATGGTGCAGGAGCAGCATCTCAATCTAAGCCCATTGAGTTTATCCACTCAAGAGCCCAAACTAATGAACAAGAATCCGCCAACCAGCCTAATTCATCAAAGTAAAGCGAGGCCCAAATTCAATTTTCCACAATGTCAATTCTAGAAAACTTAACTTCACATAGGGAGAAATATTTTATCTAAGTTTCAGCCCACACTATTGATCATTGGATGCCTCTTAGATTCCACAATAGCTGTTGGAATTAAGTTCCTACAATAATGTTGATTCCAACACCCTATGAGAACCCTATGAGCTTTTAGAATTTGTGTCCTTAATAATTTTTAGCAACATAATATTTTTTGTGCCATGATAATTCTAAACAACACAAGTGTGTTTGTTCTTTTGATTTAACTTTTCTTGTTCTTGGAAGGATGTTCCAATTTCAACTATAAATACTCCTTATGTAATATAACTTGACAGATTGTATTTTGAGTGAAAACAAATCCTGTGTTTTTCTTTCCTAAGTTCTATATCCCTGTGGTGGATTTCCTTAGAGGGTTAAGCTTGTTTAGCTCTTTCTTTAGGGTGGTGAAATATTTTATCCCTAGAGTTTAGAATTATCTTTTCTTGTTTGTTTGGAGTGGTGAAACCTACATCCTCAATGGAGTGAGATTATACATTTTTTTGTGAGTTTTGATTAAGAGATTAATTTCACTTCATTCTCTTAGTCCGGTATCATATGTGGACATAAACAATTAGAAAATTACGAAGGAGAAAACAAAGGGAATTTAAGTGAACTATGAAAACTAAAATCAAGAAAATAACTTCAAAAAGCACACTTAGGATTAGGAAAGCACTCCCTAGGAATGCATCACACATTCAACATTCAAATTTAATTAATTTCTCTCCACATAACTCTACCAAACACACGAAAATCTCTCAAATATATGGGTAGTCAAGGTTTAGGCAACCTGTTGTAGTCATGATTGACAACGTGTAGATAATGGCTTAGGCAGCCTGACTATAGACAAAACTAGAAGACAGCCAACATCTTCATAATGTCTTAGTATGATGTACAGGGCCTTTCTTAAGTGGCAGCAGGCATGTTAACGATTATTAGCCAACATTCTCTTTATGTGTAGGGTTTTTACTTAGGTGGCAGCTTGTGAATGCCATCTAGCTAAGCAAGTTCTGCTTTAGAATCTTGTCATATTATAATATTTGCATTGATGTCCTCGCCCCTCCTCCTATGGACTTTACTAGGTTTCCATTTTGCATCAAGTTTACTGCAATAGTTCACACCTTCAATGTACATAAATACAGGATCCACTTTGATTATGTTATTGTACGGTGATTGGTGATCAAACTGGTAAGAAGCATGAAAAGGCTTAGAAAACCTTAAATTGAAGGATATTAGACAAGATGGTAACTGTGAGTATATTATGTTGAGTTATAAATTTCCAGCACAAGCATCTTTCTAGTTATCTGGAATGTTAATAGGCTATTGATGTTTGCAATTCTTTGTGCTTAAAACTGCCTCATCAGTATGTATTATGATTATATGTTATGAACCTAGCCTGATAATTACTTGTTTAGCAGACTTTGTTGGTAGTCTATTTATTCTTTGTCGACCACGTAATTTCTTCTCTTTTATTTGCCTTTTGGTTTATATATATTCATGAAAATATGTAAGTTTAGTGAAGTACCAGTGGTTTTTATTAGAAGTTTCATAAATTTGCTTACATGTCAAAATATTATGTAGGTTTAGCCCTGATCCAGAAACATCTATGGGTTTAGTGCAGCATGAAGGTGGGCCCTGTGGTGTCTTAGCAACCATACAAGTAATTCCTTTATTTCTCAGTGTATATGAGTTTCATGTACCATGGAGCTTGTGAATTGTCCTTTGATGGTATTGTGCCATAAGAAGTTCCTTATGCTTTCAACAATTATTTGATCTTTTGTACACCGGAACTTCATTATCATTTTATCTTCTGAGTGGGCTAATATCATGCACTGGCGTTAGAAAACCTGCCAAAATTTATTAAGAATATTACTTCCTTGGGATAGCTTGTTCGTACTTTTTGGTCTTTGAATAGAGTAATTGTATTATTGAATGGTTATTCAAATACAATGGAACATTGAATCCATTCTATAATTAAATCTACTTAAACTTGTGACCTCTGAAATGTTACTTACGTCAATGCTGCACTTTTCTTATTTTTATGCAATTGGTTTGGGATGTTCATTGTTAAGAAAACATCCATCAATTCATGTTAAGTTGATGAAAAACTGTACAGTTATTATGTTGGACCTTGGCCTGTGTTCTTGAGAATGGCCTCCGTAGATAACCTAATGTGATTTCTGTTCTGATGTTTGTCACTTGATAAATAGTCAATTCTGTGATTGCTGACTATAATTTGTCTCTATACAGGCATTTGTTCTCAAATATATTCTTTTCTTTCCGGATGAATTAAGTAAAGTTGCAGCAAACATGCCACAGAGTATGCATTCCAGGAGATTATCCAAAACTCAATGTGTTGTGTCAGATAATTTTGCTGCTTTTTCTGAAGACACTAAAGCAAGGTGATTAAATTTTGCATGTTAAATTGTATGATACATTCTAAACACTAAACTGCACAAGGACACATGTTTTTAACTTATCAGTCATCTTTCAAAGTTTTCTAACTTTTATTAGGATTAAACAGGTGCACACTTTTTGTTGCAATTTATCCAACAGTGTAAATCCTTTTCCTACTAATTGTTGTCTTTGTATTTGTTTTATTACTCATCTAATTATCTCTCACATGTCTCAGTGGTTCCTTCTATTGGATTTCCTTGAAATTCATGCAGTTGCTTGCTTTTTTGAATGATATAATCAATACTATTAAAATTGTTGTTTGAGATCAGGAAATTGGAAAAAGGTATGATGCCTGATCTCAATAGATGCAATTAAGTGGCATGTGCAATTTCTCTTATGTAGTTGTCTTTGCTAAGGTGCATGTGCATATATAATATGGGCTAATAGGCTATGAGTCTGCGATAACCACAACAACAACAACAACAACAAACTAAGCTTTATATCCGATAACTCTGAGGTCGGCTATACGAAAGGCCAAAAAAGGAATCATGTTAGGTCATAGTTTTGAACCTTCTTGTGCCACTTATTTCTATCAAAAACTATGGATGTGCGATATGTTTGTATATTTGCTCAATGTCTTTTGTTTAAGGAATGGCTCGTTCTCATTAATGCCCAACCAAGAGTTTTATGTTCTGAAGTAGTATAAAATCTCATTATAACATTTATGATTGTTTGTGATGTGGACTGCTAGTAGTCTACGTTTTGCTTTATTTCTGCAAGAACCAGATTGGAAGAAGTTTTCTCTTTTTTTTTTTTTTTTTAATATTTAAGTTTTGCAGCTGTTTCACAATTCGTTAAATGCTTTTTCTGTTCTATTTCAATTAAAATTTTTGTTTCCGTACACAGAGCCCTGGTTAAAAGTATGGGCGAGATACTATTTTTATGTGGAAATAACAAAAGGGCTGTAATTGCTACTTTAAGTGTTATTTCCAATGGCATTGAAGGATCTGAAGACAATCCAAAGGATGTGGTTAGTGGAATTGGGTTGGCCTGAGTATGTTAATTATTTACTGCTATGCCCTTTTATATGTTCTTACTTGCTGATAGGTGTTTGTTCTACCTTTCAGATCATTGCACAAGCACTTGAAGGTCTTTCAATTGAATCAGCTTTTGATTTGCAGAAAGTTCTAAGAGTTGACACATACATGACACCTACAAGTGCCTTTAAGAGGCTTGAAGCAATGATTCCTGTTTTTCAAAGTCGCATGGGAGCACTGCTATTCCTCATCTCTGCGTTACTTTCTCGCGGATTGGTAAGTTTGTTGGCTTGAATACTCCCTTTTTATCTTCATCTTCATCAATATTCTTGTAGCTATACCTTTAAGAAAAGAAAATTCATAGGAAGCATGTACCTGTAAGTCCAGATAGTTAACTTAAGATTTTGTTTGCATGGGGATGTAACTTTATCTGTACTTCCTTAATTGTTTAGGACTGTGTTCAAGCAGACCGGGATGATCCCAGCCTACCTCTAGTAACTGCACCATTTGGCCATGCTTCTCAGGTACATAACATTGTTTATATCCATTGGGTGGATGGGGCTCCAATATCTTCAAATTGGTACTGCTCTCCTTGAGACATTCTTGCATTGTAATTGCATTTCATACAAAATTATTTCAGGAAATTGTGAACCTATTGCTCTGTGGGCAAGCTGTTCCAAATGTATTTGATGGGAGGATGGATTTAGGTGGTGGCATGTTTCTGAAGGGTATATCTACAAGTGTGGAAGTTGGATTCCTCACTCTTCTAGAATCCCTTAATTTCTGTAAGGTTGGTCAAAATCTAAAATGCCCAAAATGGCCCATATGGGTTGTTGGAAGTGAGTCCCATTATACGGTCCTATTTGCTCTGGATACAGCTGTTCAAGATGAGAATGAACTGGAAGAAAGGGAATCACAGATCCGGAAAGCTTTTGATGCCCAAGATCAGAGTGGAGGTGGTGGCTTTATTAGCGTGGAAGGTTTCCATCATGTCCTCAGGGAGACAAATATCAGACTTCCATCTGAGAAACTTGATAGACTTTGCAGCTCGGGCTTTATTGTATGGAGTGAGTTCTGGCAGGTTATTTTAGACTTAGACAAGAGCTTGGGAGGTCTTAAGGATTCATCTGGACAGATGGGTAGAAAGATATTTGAACTTTACCATTTTAATGGGATTGCAAAATCAGATTTGAATGGCAGTCAAGCTACGCCTGGAGGTGAGACTCCAGTACAAAGACCCAGGCTTACGAAATTGAGGGTTTCAGTACCCCCTAGGTGGAGCCCAGAGGAGTTCATGGCAAATTTAGTGGTTCCCCCTGGTTCCGCGGGGAGTGAATCAAGTGGGAAAGACACTGAAGTGCCTAAGCCTGAACCTCCTCCTCAGCATGCACCATTGGTGGACTGCATTAGAACACGCTGGCATCGTGCTGTTTGTAATTGGGTGGGAGACCCTCCTAGTATAGTCTGAACGTATATTAATGATCTCAGGGATCCTTTGTGTTCCCGGTGTTGGGGAACATGGCGGAACAAAAAAATTTTAAGAAAAAAATAGAAAAATGAAAGTAAGAAGAAAGAAAGAAAAAGCTGTGGTAAACCCTGCTGGCTTGGTCACAACTTTGGCCAATGAGAAGAGGTTGTTTTCCTGGTTTTCAACGTTTCAGGTTCTGTTGTGTATTTGCCATTCTAATTCAATTTTCATATGTTAATTGTTAAATAACGAGAGAAAAGGATCATCTCATTCCTTTCGTCGATCAAATGGGCATTCCCTCGGCTTTGCATTTGCTGCTTGTGAGGGAAGCATTTCAGCGGGGAAATGTTAGAATCAAGTATTCTTGCCGCAATTTTTTCCGGTAAGCTCTTCACTTTGGTCCAGTTGATTAAGTTTTTGAGATCAATATTACGAATAGAAACATTCTTGGCGACGTACTTTTATATATACACATATATAAATTATTAATAAAGAATGAGTTCAGTGAAAACTCATTTTTTCTGTTTTTTAGGCTCGAAATTAAAGGAGAAAATTAAATCCCTCAATTCATATTTTCCATATAGTAATCATGTTGTATCTATATGTGTGACATAACTAACATGTTTAAAATAAGTTGATTTAAATTTTGTGATATGACACGATTTTATCACAATTAATTAGAGCTAACACAATTATTTATTTATTTATAATTTTTTATTTGTCAAAAATTAATTTTTATTAATAATTTAATAACATATATAAAAAGAATATAATTCTTATTGTTCAAATTTTAAAACAACTGCAACAAAATAATAGTATCCATAAAACATGTTAACAATCTTTAAATAAATCTATCAATATCAAACATGCCATATATTACATGCGGTGACGGTAATATAAATGAATTAATTAAATGTGTTAATTGTATTGTAAAATTGTAAAGCATGTTTAAAATGTTTAAAACATAAAAATTGTTGTCTTAACTTGTTGAAATGATTAAAACATGAAATATGATTATATTAAATTCAAATATGATTTTATTTTATATTTTGTTTGTATCGTGTAATTATATAGTATATAAAATTATGAAGTCGAGAAGAAATGAAGAGAAAAAAGAACTTGGATCAGCCAACATGGCATGAATTGGCATATTTAAGTCTTATTTTTTCTTTAGGTTATTTTATGCACACTCTCTTTCTTTAAGGTTTTAGGTGCAATTTGTAAATATTCAATTTTATTCAATTTTTTTTTTTGAAATTTATTGAGTTTTGAATTTTGATTTGAAATTCAATCTTCACTTAAAAAATGAATTTTAGGCCCAAACATTAAAAGCCAAAATTTTTTATTTTGATTTGAATTTTAACTTTAATGCTAATTTTTATTTTGACTTTAATTTAATTTAATTTTATTTTTGATCTAATTTCATTTTTAGTCAAAAAAAAAGTCAAAAAAGAAAAAAGTCAAAAGAGAAAAAAAAGTCAAAAAAGTAAAAAGAAGTCAAAAAAATGGTTGAACATGCTATTTGAAAATATACAGAAAATCTTAGATTCAGTTTTAGATTCGATCTTGAATTTAATTTTTTGGATTCTAAAAATGCTTATGAAAATTTTTGAACATCAATTCATTGGAAAAAATTATAGAAAATTAGATTTTGAAGATTTTTCCTAGATCTAGTGAAATTAAAGGTTTTTTAATTGAATTGGGATTTTATCCCTATAAAAGGCTTTCGATCTATTATCATAAGTGGGGTGCGAGGAATTCGGCAATATCAAAGATCATTTAGCATAGAAATAGTTTTCAGCAAATCACCAGCAATTCAACAAAGAAGCAATCTCTTGCAATACAAAGTAATTCAAGAGAAAAACATGCAATCAAGCAGTATACAAAAGCAATTAAGCAATTAGAGTTGTTAAAATTTTTTGGGTTCTTAGTTTTTTATTCTGGGCTTTCAATTCTAGGTGTTTTGGAAATCAATGCTAGAATTCAATTCTTGGTGTTTTGAAAACAATTTTGGGTTTAGATTTCTAGGGTTTTTAGGGAATTTTGTTTGGATTTATGGAATTATTGAAAGATTCTGAAGAAGTTTTAGAAATCTAGGTTTTTACACTTTTGAAATTTTCATTTGAATTTTTGAAAATTAGCTAAAAATTTTTTAAGTTCTAATTGAATTCTGTAAATTTTTAAGTTTGAATTGATTTTTTCGATGAAGTTTAAGTTTTTCAACAAGGTACACAATTGCCAAAAGGATTTCACGATGGTCGATTTTTGAGTTCTTTGATTTTTTGAAAAATTTTAAATTTTTTAGTCGGTTGAATTTTTTGTTGGGAGTTTAGAGAGAAGTCAGAGAACATAAAGGCTAGAGAGAGAAAAAAGAAAGATAATATGAAGAACAAAGCTAACTTTTGGCTTTTATACCAGGAAGCAAACGACATCATTTTTTACAACTCAAACTCACATGTGACCCATGCATTGACTTGCCTTGGACCTAACCTGATCACAAGTTTTGGTTTTTCTTTTTTTATTTTCTTTTTGATTTTGATTTTAATTTTGATTTTCTATTTTTTGATTTTTACTTTTTGCTTTTATTTTTTTATTTCTTATTTCTTATTTTCTTGTTTAGTTGTAATTAAGCTAACTGTGATGGGGAAAAAGAAAAAGAAAAAAAAATGCTTAATATTAATTTTTATGTTTTTTGTTTGATTTTTATTTTTGCATGAATAATTATGATTATTTATTATTTGTATGACTAATAATATATTTGCTTGCATGACTAATAATATATTTGTAAGGTTCATTATTATTTGCATGATTTGTTATTTGCATAGTATTTTTGCATGACTATTTTTACATGATTTAGTATAACATTTTTGGAATGATTGTTGCATGATAATTTTTTGCATGATATTTTATATCATTGCATGTTTATTTATTATTTTGCATGATTGCTTAGTGTTTTTTATATTTATTGCATGAATTTTTTACATGGTTTTTTTGCATGTTTGTTATATTAGCATGATATTTGTTTTGATATTTGCATGATTACATGATTGCATGGTGTTTTGATAAAGTTTTTGTTTGACAATATTGTGTAAATAAATAAAAGGATTGGAATTTATTTATTTGCATGATAAAAATCATCTTTGATTAAGACTTAGAAATGGGGTGCTTAAACCTTCCCTGCACGCAATCGACTCTCAAATCTTAGTTCTGTTGTCAGAACTTATTCTTTTTAAGGACCTTTATTTTAAATTTAGGATAACCTTAAAAAGGATATATTCACATAGATAGCCAATCATACCTAGATAAAAAAAATTAATGATAACTCCATGATTTTTTGTGTCTAATGCTTAGATTCTCCAATTTATACGTTATGACAGTTTGATGACTCCACTGGAGACATTAGAGAGTCAAGCTATTAGTTACTTATATATTATCTTAAGCCTTACTTTGATGGTTTTATTATGTAATTATTTATGATTTATTCATATTGCCGATACCATTTTACCTAGTCTCATAAAATTATTATTATTATTATTATTATTATTATTATATATTTTTCATTTCCTTTTTTGACACATTTTTCTTTTCTTTCTGACATTTTTTCTTTGTTTTCTTCATCTTTTCCCTAAAGTCAGTGTATTTAATGCACTGAAAATCTTGTCACTACCTAATTTTGCAAAAAAAAAAAAAGAACTAAGAAGTCTTCAATGGCGTTTTAAAGTCCTTAGGGCTTTGGAAAAAAAAAAAGCATAATCTTAAAAATTTGGGATCTCAATCCCAAAAAATCTAAGATTTTGAATTCTAAATAACTTTGTAAATAGAGCCAATTTTTGCAAAGCAAAAAGGAAGGAAAAACCTAAAGCGAAGAATATTGCCATAAAAATATATACAAATAGAGAGATTTTTTTGGCAGCTATTGGGGTTCTACCAAAAAAAAGAGAGAAAAAGACAAATAAACACTAAAAAACACACACCACAGTCATCTTAGAGGAGGAACCATCAACAAAAAAAAAAAAAATCTAAAACACAACAAAAAAATAAGAATGAAATTCTCGATCTGTGAGGGTTGGAATTTTTTTGAAAAAATCTATTTTGGGAAAGGGGTTTAGGAGGTTAAAAGCAATATTTTGGTAATTTTTGAAAAGTTTTTGAAAACTTTTTTGGGTTGTCAAATTCTGAGAAACCTTTGAAAATTTTAATGATCATTGAATTTTTCGCCCACCAAAATCTAGGAAACTTGCCATAATCTAGAAAAAGTTTAAGTTTTCTGATGTCGATTGAATTTTCTAGCTGTAGTAACCAACAAAGAAGGGATAAGGTTTAGAAAGAGAAGCTCTAAAGTTTAAAGAGAGAAAGGGAAACGAAAAAAATAAAAATAAAAAAGGGCCTTTTCTAGGTGCACCAAAACGACGCTGTTTTGGCATCTTGACCTATGGAGCAACCTGCGTAAACCCGCGCCTCCACCCACTAAGGACTCAACCTGTTTGTAAGTTTTTCCTTTTCTATTTTATTTTTGTTATTTGTTTAAGTTTTTTTTACAATTTATGATTTATAATACTATATATTTTTTACTAAAAATAAATAATTATCAATAACAATAAACAATAAATAAATACCAATATGTTAATTTAAAAATAAAAGGATAAACAAAATAATAATATCATTAACAAAATATAAAATGAGTTTTATTTTCCATAATTTTATAAGTAAAAATATTACTTAAACTTCGCCAAGGTGTTGGAATAATTCAAGAAATTATTTTTGCTAAAAAATAAAAATACTAATAACATTTATTTATTTGAATAAATCTTTGAAAAATGTAATTTTTAAAGAAAATTGAAAGAGTCAATTTTCTTTAATTAATGCAAGTAAAAAAAATAAAAAATATTTTTAGATTTCGTCGATGAGTAGGGATAATCTAAAAATTATTTTTCACTAAATAAATATTTATTAAATAATAATAATAATAATAATAATAATAAAAATATTTCTTCAAATAAATTTCTTAATTATTACAAAAAATATATTCTTGTATTTACCAATGAGTTGGGATAATTAAAAAAAATTATTTTACTAAATAAAGATTTATTTAAATAACGAGGAAAAAATAATAACAATAAAAATTAATTAAATATTTAATTAAATCTCTTCATTATCATCAATAAAAAATGATTTTACTTAGGATCTTATAAGAAGGTTGGGATAATCTTAAAATCTATTTAAAATTTTAGGACTTTACCAAAGAATCGAGAGAATTCTAAAATCAGTGTAATAAAATTAATAAATGAATAAAATATCTTACGATGAAATTTCGAGAATTTTATGAATGATCAATTTTTTAATTTTTTTCTAAATAAAGATTTTTCATAAATT